ACCCCCCACGCGCACCCCAGGTGCGCCCTTAGCCGAGGGCCCCCCGCGCGCCCCCTGGTCTTCCGATATATCAAAAGATGAGGTGGGGCGGGGGCGCGCGGGGGGTGGGGGGTGAGGGGGGGGGAAGGGGGGAGCTATAGCTCCTCCGTTCTTCCTCCACATCCTCGTCGTTGTTTTTTTCCACTGAAAATATGGCAAAGCTGCCCGGGACGTCACTTAGCGGCGACCTCGGGCTCAGAAACCGCGCGCCGCTCGTTCGCGAGGGACGTGGGCTCGGGGCGCTTCATCTCCGCAATCCAGGCGGCGCGGCGGCTGACCTCGCGGTTCTCCTGGAAGGAACATGTTCCACTGTTTGCGTTTGCGTTTTTCGGCGGTGGGCAAGCCACCCCTTAGTAAACCTCCCTGTGGTGAAGCCTGCCTGAGACCGAAACCGACAGACTTGGACTCGTCAAAATGACACCCGCGACGCCCTCTCGCGAACCGACAACGGCCAATTCCTTGGTCGACGCGCCAGGGTAGGAGGTCTGTCCACCCAGGTGTTTTACATTAATTTAGAGGGGGGGGCTTGCCCAGCTCGTCGCGCCAGCAGCCACGGTCGACGTGCCCTTCAGCTTCGGCGACAAGGTGCCGCGCACGTCGTGCCAGCTCTTCCATCAGCAGCGGCGCCATCACCCCTTCCCGCACGTCCGCATCGGCCACACCAAAAAATCTCCCTTGCTTCAGCAATTTCCAACCGCGCCAATATGGCAACACCGCGCAGCAGAGGTCGCAACGAGTCGGCGTGGCGCTCGCGGGTGCGCTGGCTGAGCTGGGGCCAAAACGGTTAGATATGCTTCCACGTCGCCCCTATACCTTGCATTTTCCTGGATGCACGGGGCCCCTCGGCCGAGGGGGCCCACCCGCCCCCGCCCCCTGCCCTCCCCATTTGTTTTTTTGTTTCCGCGCCAAGCGGTTAGCGGCGCACAATTTTCACCCATCCCACTGCCGCCCTACACTTCCCCACCACGAATGGCAGGCGGCACGCCTACTCGAAGACTAGCTTGGACAACGCGTGTTCCTTCGCCTCTTGCAGGCCTGCCTTGCCCGCGCTGAGCCTCCCCCTCACCTGGCGGCCGATTTCCGATCGATATTCCACGCTGGCCGCGCAGCGCACCCCCCCAAAGGAGATGAGCTGCGAGCCGCCCTTCACGCGGGGCCCCGCGGAGTGGCTCTTCTTGTAGTGCATCGCGCCGTCGAACTGCTCGGTTTTGTAGTCGAACGCGCGGCCTTTCTCGTCGGCGAATTTGCCAGGGTCGGCGGCCGCGGGCTTCGCCGTCGGAAGCTCGGCGGCCGCGGGCTTCGCCTTGGCGGCCGCGGGCGTCGGGGGCGTGCCCTTCATGCCGAGTGCGATATAGTCGGCGTCGTCGTCCTCCTCGGGCCCCTCGGCCTCGTCGGCCGCGCCCGCCCCCCCCTCCTCGCCCTCGCCCTCCTCGTCTGCCCTGGCCAGGTCCTCGTCCTCGACGCGCCAGGCGCCAGTCGCCGCTGCAGGCTTCTCACTGCTCATCTATTCATGGCCGGCTTCTTATGCGCGGGCGGGTTCTTCCACGCTGCGAAGCCGGCGCCGGTGATCTCCGACGTCCACGTCGCGCTGTCGGCGAGGGTGGCCGCGCGCGTCCCATTTTCGCCAGGGGCCAAGTCGAACTCCCTGAGTTCCCCGCTGTCGTCGGTCTCCGCGAGCTTCATTCGGTCGCAGTCCACCTCGCGGGCGCTAGCGCACTTCGGCGAGGGCTTCTCGGCCGCGGGGGGCGTCAGCAAGTCCACGAGCGACTGCTTCCGCGTCAACCTCCTCCTCCTCGTACTCAGGGCTGCGCTCGAGCTCGGGTTCGGGCTGCCCTGGGCAACCCGCGCCCTCTTGGTCGGCGCGCGCGGGGCGTCGCCGCGCCCGTGCGCTGCCGCGATCTCGCTCGCGCTCGGGGGGCTGCGCAGCGCAGGCCCGCGCGCGCTGCTGGCGGGGACCGCCAGCGGCCGAGCATCAACGGGCAGAGTCGGCGCCCTTATCGCGGTCGCGTTGCTGCAGCGCGCGGGCGACGGCAGCAGTCGCGGGGGCCAGCTTCCAGACGTCCTTCTGCTTGTAGCAGCGCTGCGTCGCCTGCTTCATGGCGTTCGCCCAACTCGCCCGATCGGGCTTCGAGAGCTCGGGCGAGTGGCCCTTGGCGGCCTTGGCGAGGAGCGACGCAGGCACGCGCGGCGCCAGGGCCGCCAAGTCGACCGAGAAGCCCCGTTAAGGCGCATCGTATCCTCGACATCGCTCTGCGCTTGGTAGCGGATGATGCTGAGCGCGCGCGTCTTGCGCATATCCGTGAGCGCTCAGAGATCGCTGATGCACTTGGCCCTGGGGCACTCGCACCAGGCGGCCATCTGTTGGCGGGGCAAGGGGGCGCGGCGCGCGGTGCGCGAGCGCTTAGCTTCGAGCCTCCATGTGCATCGGATCCGCGAACAGCCGCGGCAACGCGCCCCCCCTCCCTCCTCCGTCGCGCCGAGGGGCTCCTTAGACGAGGAGCCCCATGGCCGCTGCCTCATACATATATATATATATACATACATACATACATACATACACACGATGAGCCCCTGCGCGCTGCCTCATGTAGGCGATGCTGAGCCTTGGGAATCGGCAAGCTTATATATATATATATATATATATATATATATATATATGTATATATATATATATTAAGCAGAAATATCAGTTCGGCCTCTCTCTGACACCCATGTTGGACCACTTGGAAATCAACCGATCTCAGTAGGTTGGATTTTTGTTTGCTGAAAAACCGAACTAAAAAGATCGGCTCTAAAAAAAGCTGCGTTTAGTTTGCGCAGCTCTATCTAGATAGGCGGATCTAAATTGACCGGCGCCGCTCTAAATAGATTGGAAAAGTTTAAATAGTTCGGAAAAGATTTTCATGGTTGTGAAGCAAGGGAAGAATTGCCCCGAAGCAGGGCACGGCTGCCCCTATGATCACAGGAAGCCTAAGACACCGGCCGCGCCGGCACAGCCGGGGGCGGCTGGTGATCATAGAGCCGCCGGCGGAAATAACGATCGCAGAGGCAGGAGCGAGAGGTCTGGAAGTAAAGGCCCGAAAGGAAAGGAGCGGCCTCGCTCCTCGACTCCATCGAACAAATTCGGCAACTCGAATGCGGCGCAGTCGCGGACGAGGAGTCAGTCGGAGGCCTCGCGAGAAAGCCAGAGTAAGATGGTGTGCTACGCATGGTCGCGCGACCCCCGCATTTGCAAGGGCCTTCAGAGCGGGTGCTATAAGCAGCGTAGAGGCTTATCTGAGGCCGAGAAATTCAAGTTTGACAAATACGAAGAAGCACAGCTCATGGCTGGCAAGTCCTTAGGCTACCAGAGAACCTCAAGGCAAGCCGATTCTGCTGCTGCGAATGCAGGCGATGCCACGCCAGGCGAGACCCCGAGAAGTCGGGAATCGAGTAAATGCCGTGGAAAAACAGCAAGGGCAGAGGAAAAGGGAAAGATAAACCATGCAGTGTGTTCACCGAGACAGGAGCTTGCTCACGAGGCAAAGACTGTTGGCTCGCGAAGAACACGCCAAACCATCCGTGACGATGGCCAGGCACTGGCGTACTATGGGCCAGTGCCAAGATGATCGTCACATAGTTCTCTCTTGTCTTGCTGATGCTTATTCGCCCCATGGCAATGTGGTCACAATGTTCCCACCGGCCATGCCGACAAGGGAAGGGTAAGCATAGGCCCCCTGGCACAGCCAGCCGAGCCATCTTTGCCTGCCCTGCTCCGCTGGCGAGGGGATCTAGTGGTCCACATAACAATTCAGAAGGACGACCAACTACGGTTGACTCCAACAACGCATGTTCATTTAATCTTGAAATTTTCGAAGGAAGCTGATCCCGCTTCCGAAACGCAGCAAGAACGCAATGAGGAGTTGACGAAACTCGTCGCTATCCTCGTTCAGTTACATCCTCTTCCAAGGGAGGCCATCGCGTCCTTTTGCGGCGAGCCTCGGGGAAAAAGTTGCGTCGGACCTGCGAAGACGGGTAGCCGCGGACTCAACGGCAAGTTTCACTCCTCTACCTGCGAACCGATTATTACTCGAAGGAAGGCGCGTCGCCACAGCCCAAGAAAGCTGCCTTCGAGCGTGGGCGACAGATGGAAGTTCCCGAGGGAAGAATATCGACGAATGCAGACTGAATGGGAAGCATCGTTGAGCGACGCACATCTCAGGGCATCTGGCTTAGCTGACGAAGTTTGGCATCTTTGGCTAGCATCTGAGGGAAATGAAGGAACTGCCCAAGGTGGCTCAGCCGATGCGGGGTGCAGTGAAGTCATCCGTGCACCTCGGCGCGCTTCATATTCATAGTTGTCACAGGCTGTGGGCGCAACCTCATTGCGGAGAGGTCTATTAGTGCTGCAGGCGCAATGGGCATGATCAAGAGATTAGGGAATTCGATCACCCAGAATATTGCTGGAGGTTCCTCTCGGGCCCTCGGTTCAGTTTGCCCCTTCGCGCCCCTAAGAGCCCGTTTTGATCGGCGTGTAATTTGGCAACGGCGCCAACAAAAGGAAGGCGCAACATAAGGGGCTGAGGGTGCCGAGACCAAACGCGAACCCCGCGACATTCGGACACCTGACCACCATGGATCACTGGCTTGCGATCGATGACCTATCGCGGGGGCTCCACGGAGAGACCGCGCGCGTGACTTTTCGCGACTGGGCAACATATTTCATAGCAGCGCAGGGCGTGCGCGACAAATCTGCGATTCACGTATGCAACTTTTTGATTGACCTCAGAGCCCCAGGAAAAGTTCGAATCTTGCTGTACTGACTGTGCGAGAGATTTTGCACGTGCGTGCATCGAGCTTCAGATTGCACATGACCCTACCATCCCTGGTAACAAGAAGCTCATGGCTCCCGCTGAACGATCCAACGGAATCGTTCAGATGGGAACTCGAGCTCTGCTAATGCAGGCCGGCCTCCCCCCATCTTTTGGACACATGTTGTCGCGAGGATCCTTGATGAAGGTGAATCGGCATGGAGGCGCATATTTGTTCACGAGTTTGCGGCACCTCTTCTTTCATGTGGTTCTCTTGTCCGATTCATGCCTCCTCCTGAATGTCGATTTCTGATCGCCAAAACAGGCGTGGCGATGGTCGCGGGGATTTACCTCGGGTATCTACATAATGCGGGGGGCATGGTTGGTCCAGAAAGCTACGTGACACCGCTAAAACAACTTGACGATATGAACGTGGAAACTGGGCGGACGCCAGCAGGCAAGCGCCCGATAATCGCGCAGTCAGATCAAGTCTACATCACTATGTTGGACGGCGCTGCACCAGACTAAGAACCTAAGTTATGCGTGAAGCATATGAGATAGCAGACAAAGGTCAAGAACGTCGTTATTCCCCCAGGCGGTTCCCCTGACGGCCCAGCCGGTCAGGGGGCCCGATTAGGGTCACAGGCGACACAGTCGTTTGGTTACAGGGATCCAGGCGCACCGACGCCACCGCCTCCAGCGCGAGGCGAGGCTGCTACCACCGCCAAAGGATGATGATGACTCCGATGACGATGGTCCGGGGGGAGTCATTGTGGATGACGTGCCTGTGGCACCAGACTGTCGGGATCCCCAGCGAGACTCGAGGCCAGATGACGATGCGAAACCAAAGCGCTGCCTCGCTCAGCTAGAATCTATGTTGGATCGCCAGTCTAATTTCTCGATGGCGCAGCCACGGTCGAGAGTGCCTGGACCAGGGCAACTCCTCGCCCGAACCACAAAACTTAGACACTATGGAAGATTACGAAGAATGACGCATTGTTGCAGGCCTAGGTAAGGATGAACTCACAGGAGAATTGCCCTTGAAAGGCAGACGGAAGACCTGAAGCATTAGGGTCGCGTTGTATTATGATCCTGACTATGCACCTGTTGCAAGAGTCTGGGTCGCTGACCCAGACCCACGATGTGGCGTTCAATGCTTTCAGAAATTACGTAGTTCCACCGACCCGGGAATTCGCCCAAGCCGATGGTTCCACATGGGCCATGCTGAACGGAGGAAAGCAGTGGGGCTGCTTCGATCCGAGAAATGAGGTTTCTTCGGGGCTGATGACCCGGGACCTTGCATTGCCCTTGTCCGCGACATTGGAATCAACGCAGTCGACTTCCAGGACGCGCAACACGGCAATGAAGGCACCGAGCATCCAGAAGGCCACGTCCATCCAGGCTCTGAAATCTGAAGAAGAAAGAGAGGAGATACGGTTGTGCCAGGTGAAACCGAAGTGAACTGGCGCGCGCCCATGCATCCTGCGAGACCGGCAGAGGAGCTCTCCACGGATACAGGCTCTGTGAGTGACCAGGGCACCTCCGATGATGAAGAAATATGGTGGAAACAGACTTGGTATGGTGGGGCAATCCTGCGAGATGGGGTTCCTCCCGGCACAGTTGGAGAGGACCTAGCCCTCCCAAAACCTTCAGTGTTTCACGGGGACAGCCGGACTTCGAGTCCGACGGCCGCCGTTTCGCGACGTAGCGTGCCCGGCATGCCATTGCACTTTTCAGGATTACCACATCTATCGCATCGAGAAAGAAGTTTTGGCGCGAACTATGTATAGAACCCGTTTACTGATGATATTCGGATCCCTGAACAAGCGTACCAATTACTTGTTGAGTTAAGCCAACCACGGATTTCTGCAGCCGTGGCTGTACCCGCATCTAAGGCCGAAGCTGCGG